GTACAGATGTGACAGCCCTCAATCTTCTCTTTGGGCAGCTGAGGACGAATCCTGGCAGACAGAGAGGGAGAAAGAGACCACGCTAGAGGTGAGACGTGGCTCAAGACTTGGGATAGGTTGTGGAGGTCGCGTATGGGCAAGTTACCTTTCAGAGCTGGGAGAAGGGCTTTAACTGCTGTTAATGTGACAGCGTTACCCAACCAATGATCATCTCCTATGTCTAACCAAGTGGATTTATTGCTTATAAATAACATTGACTTTATTGGCTTAATGGTGAAAGTGCAGCTAAGCTGAAGACAGACACAGTTTTCACTGAGCATGTCTTTTTATGCATGTGGAAACCAGTGTCAGCATGCTGCCCGTGCACCGTACAGTGCCCGCACTGTTCAGGAGTGAGGGAGAGCGAGCGAGCTCTGGGTAAACAGTCCCACCCATAGATTTCATTAAGGAATTGCTCTGTTTGCCTTCCTTCAAATAAAAACACTTCCCTGTTACATCATTTCCTCCTCCGCTTTTTATCACTGCACTAACAGTCGACCTGAAGAGGAAGTGGAAATGCTGAAGGGAAATATTTGGACGGGGAATTAAAATGGTGAAAACTGTTTATAGCAAACCCTGGATGAAAATAGGAATAGAAAACAGTTCTATTAGTATCAATACTGCAATACTCGTAGAAATAAATGGTAAATAATAATGATGAAGGAAAACCTCACAGTTAGCAGGAAGTAAATGGATTCCTTCAACGGCCACAGTCAAACCCCAGAAAGGTTAGAATAACAATGAAAAAACAGACTCTCAGAATAGAAACGTGTCTGTTGTCAGTACTGTTGGTGTCGTCTGGTGCTCATTAACTCTCAGCGTATGTGTGAGGATGTGGCACTTTGCATGAAGTCTGTACTATATCACATTTGTCGCAGCAAGTGTCTACAGAAAAAAAGCAAAAGGCTTAGAAGGAAAGGAAAAGAAGGATGTCGGTGAAGCTACAGTAGCAAAGGTCCACAGAGGTGTCATTGTGCGTGCGTGACATCAGATCCCAGCTATTTAGCAGGCTCCCTCTCTGGGATTACAGCACTGATGAAAGCAGGACAGAGGCAGACAGTCCTACCTGCGGTTACTGTATTCCTGTAAGAGTATTGTAACTGTCAGCTCTGTGTTGTGAAGAGAAGTCCCAAAAAGTTCAGTTTTCCTAGCAGGAGTTTCCTGACATTCACTCAATTGCATGCTACAGCAAAAGGCACAGAGAACTTACAAAGCATCAGATCTCATCGTTGAAAGGTGGAGTGAGGGTACAAAAACAGTTTCCACAGCATTAGATGGAACACAGTGAAGACAGTCGTCAAAAATCAGAGAAATTATACGACGATGTCTTGTACACTGGTCCCTCGCTTTAACGTGGCCTTGCTGTTTCAC